TAAACCATTTTTTTTAAGCTTGATTAAGGTAGAATTAGCTTGATTAATTGCTGCCTATGTTGTCCGAAAATCTGCTGGAAAATGGGGAAATTTCGGTAGCTTAAGCTATGTTTTTAAGCTTGGTTTAAGTGTAAATTAGCTTGATTTGGGCTGTTGTGATTTTGGAGAAAAATCCCGTGAGATTAGCTATGGTTTTGCCAATTTTTAGAAGTTGCAGTTACTGTTCATTGCGCGATTACTGTTCACAGGTACTGTTTACGTACTAATGGCCAACAATTAATGGGGATTAAATGTTTAGTTTGTAATATAAGAATAAATTTGAAGATGTCCGGTCATATGGAGACTAATAGAAATAGCATGATTAGGGGTGATCCTAACGAAGTTTTTACTTGGAATTTGTGATAGTACGGTATTAATTCTGGGGTATTTTGATTAGGTTTTTGAGTGTTTTGTCACCTGAGTACTTGGCTTGAGTTCCGGATTTGAGGTAAGTAAATTATGGTAACGCCTTTCGATTTCAAAGCATGTTTTAAATTGTTTTTGCGATGGTGGCAAGATTTAAATTGATTTTAAATTGATTTTATTAGCACCAAGTATGATTGATTTGAAATGGACTTATTTTTGTTTTCATTGAGTAGAGCATGCCACTTGGAACTTACTGAACTGCTCTGATGATTTAACAATTTTTCGTAAATTATGATTTTCTGTTAAATCCATGCCCACATGGAATTTTCTGGTTATTTTTGAAATTTGAGATTGATTGTGAATTATGGATTTTAGTGTAAATCTTGCCTGTTTTGTCTCCGATAGGGTTATGTTATTCGTGTGCCCGCTAGTGGGAGGTTTATAAACGCTAGCACATGTCGACATGTTATTGATAGAGCCGATTCGTTTGTGTTATCCTACTAGTGGGATTATACACTAGTAAATCGTGTGCCTGCCAGTGGGAGGTTTATAACACTGACCATGACCTATAGAGGAGACATCTATTTCGTTTCCGTACTCGTACTTGTTTTTCGTGATTACACTGGTTGGCATGCTATAAGTTTAATTAAGGGCTATCCATATTTACTTACTGAGATATGTTATCTCATAGTTTTTCCTTGCCCACCATTTCAGGAAATGAAGTCAAGGACGGAGAAAAACGAGGGGAGTGACGAGTTAGAAGGCTAGCCATCTTGTAAATTGAACATAGATTTTAGATATAAATCATGATCTTGTAAGCTAGACTTTATTTGGAGACTTTATGATATCAAGGCGAATTTTATAATTTTATCTTCAGATTTTATGGTATCGGATTGTGGTATGATAAGTTCCAAGCCTTGTACATTTGTGGGACTCTCTCACAAGAGTACGGCGTTTGCCACGTTCCCGGATTTGGGTTCTGGGGCGTGACAAATTTTGTGATATCAGAGCTTAGATTGAAATTAAGAGCTTAGGATTAAATTAAGCACCTCCAGATTGAGTGGTATCAGAGCAGATTGAGTGGCATTAGAGCTTAGGTTTAATTAGATTTTGTGTTATATCTAGGATTTGTTTAGAACTTGGCTAGCCAGTGGATTTTAGAACCATGGTGAGACGAGTGATGGGGTTATATAAGGGATGATTCTTATTCATGTTGCCTAAATTTTCTAATCCATTTTGATGAGATGGTAATCTAATTGTTCTTGTTTCCTGCCTTCATACCCTGTGTAGATTCATGAAATTAATCTTGTTTGCCATGTTCTTAAGACCTTGTTTTAAAACTTGGTCATTTTCTAATAGTCTACACTTGTTTAGACTTGTTACTTGAATAGAATTTTTGTATGCTCTTTTGCCACAATTGTAAAATCTGGGGAGTTGCAAAGATCTTTTGTTATTGATCCAGTTGGTCTCTACAGCATAGTTGGTTGAGAAATTTGTTCTATTTGTTACATGACTAGTGGAAGATGGGCAACCCTCTACTTTGTAAGAGATTCAAGGCTATTTTAGTAAATGTTGTATGTTTTTCTAGATGCGTTTTAGGAGCTGGATAACTTGGTAATTTCGCTACTCATTATCTTTCTGAAAGTTTTATAGTGAATTTCACTTTTTTTTCATTTGGAGCTTCATGGTCTTTTCATGTGGCTCATTCTTCTATATTGGTTAATCAAAAACAATGATCAATTCATTTGAAATTGTCGTCTTTTTGTGAAGATTGGCAAGTTTTCATAAAGTTAAACTCTCTATTGTTGCTAATCTTTACGTTCTTGATACCTGGAAACTGCTTAAAACTCCTAAAATCCATCTTGAATCTTTCTTGAGATTTCTTTGTTCTTGTTCTTGAAATTGAAATCCAAAGGAAATGGATAATGATTATTGAAATCCTCATTATCTTGATACTTGTCTGAAATTAATTCTTGCACTGTTCTTGGAATCTTATCTCGAACCTTGCTTGAAGTCATGTTAGCATCCTTTTCTTGAAAATCAATTGATATTTGGTTTTGGAATCTATTTTGAATTGTCCTTGAAAACCATTCTTGTCCTGACCCTTGCTCTTGTTCAAATTTTGTATACTGCTCTTGCTCAAATCCTGCATATTCTGCTAGTTCTTGTTTTAGTATACCTGTTGATCTTCTTGATTTTTGATTTTGTTCGTATGGACACCTCTTTAGGAGGGGTGATGATTATTAGAAAATACCTATATAAGGCATCCTAAATTCCTGTCTCTTGTAAGTGTTAATCTCTGTATCCTTGATGTCTTAGCTTTGACTTGACTCTAGGATGCCTAGGATGACTTGATTGTAAACCTGCTTAGCCTCCATGGGCTACAAGGTGAAAGGGTAGTCTTTGAAGTACCTAATGCCCTAGAGTTTTGTTCCAAGAGAAATGGTTCTTTTATCTGGTTGCTTTGATTTTTGTTTGCCCTTTTAATTAAAAGACAGTAATCTTCTAAGTATCCTGATCCCTACTATTGATTTTTCTGTTAATTAATTCGTGTTACTTGGGGTGTTAGATCTTGACATCCTGGTTATATCTACTCTTGAATCCGTGTTTTGGTTGTCATTATTGAAATCTCTTTTGTGGGCCTAATCTTTGAATTCCATTGCTTGTTTCATGGTTAAATTGTCTCTCAATTTTGATTGCTTGGTTAAATTTGATCTTGATTCTTGGTGAATGTCGTTTTGTTGCTGAATTTTTAAGGCATTCTACCTAGCACTCTCATGTTCCAGTATTCTTCTAAGCATTCATATTTTCCACTGATTTTATTTTGATGCTATTTTGGAAACTTCACATGTCATTGGATGGGTCTAGCTTTTAACTTTTGTTAATTGCTAAAATTTGTCTCTTGATTCGAGTTGTTTTGTCAAACATGACCTTGCTTATTGGTTGACCTTGTTTTGTGGCAGAATTCATAAGGCATCCATGCACTTGTTCATTCGTTCAAGATTCATATATCCATTGGATGCTTATCCGTCTTTGATAGAGTTCAAAGTTTTGTTGTACTCGTCTTTAAATCCATGCCATTCTTTGCCAACTCGTCTTGTGTTAGGTTGATAACGTAACCCCACAACTGTTCTTTTGTGGCTTTGGCAGGATTTATTTCTACTCCTTGTGCTTCCCATATCACCCCAACCTCCAATAGCTTGTTTCATGGTAAATCCTGTTAAGTAGTTCATGTTCTGCTTTTATGATTAGTTGTGATTTGATATCAGAGTGGCGCAACGGAAGCGTAGTAGGCTATGTTCTGTTCATAAAGAGTTGGTGAGGCATTTGTTTTCTCTTGGATTGTGTAAAGGCATTCACCAGCTTAGATGATCCTCAATTTGAGTTTTGGGGACAAAACTCCTTTTTAGGAGGGGTGAATGTAATATCCCAAATTTTCGGGAATTTTAGCATTTAAGTAAGGGTTTTTGTGAGAGAAAATATTGTTTTGGGGCTTAATAATCGAAAATTCAAAAGTTGAGGTATTTAAAAGAGAATAGGATTTGGATAAGGATCCACTATATTTTTTCCTTCTTTCTTTCTTCCTCATCCCTGTGCTTCTGCTCTTCCCGACCCCCCTGCAGCCGAACAAGGAGCAAGCTGCCGGCAGCACCCATCCCTTAAAAAACCCGTAGAAAGCTTGAAATTTCTCCTTCTTTCTTGCTCAATAACAAGTTTTAAGACTTAGAACTCTCTCTCTTAGCCTAGAAATTTTCAGATCTGCTGCTGCTTTCTCCCTCCTTTGCCGTTGGTTGTTGCTGTGGGTAGTGGGTTCGGTTTTTCTGGTAAGGAAACAACATGAGCTTCATCTTTTCAGCCTTAATTTAGCTTGGGTGCACTTTAATCCCTTCTGGTTTCTTTCAATTTGGGTAGTTTGTGTGATTGGCCTCCAGGATCCCGTCGGCTTCCTCACCAGCCAAGCTTGGTTTCTGCTGGCTGAAATTCTGGTATGTTGACAACTCCTCCAAGCCCGAAATTTCATCAATTAATTGCTGAAATTGTCCATTTATTTACTGCTCTGTGCTGTCCGAAATTCTTCTGTTGTATGGTGGGATTTTCTGCTAGAAGAGGGAAATATTTCAGCAGCCTTAAACCATTTTTTTTAAGCTTGATTAAGGTAGAATTAGCTTGATTAATTGCTGCCTATGTTGTCCAAAAATCTGCTGGAAAATGGGGAAATTTCGGTAGCTTAACCTATGTTTTTAAGCTTGGTTTAAGTGTAAATTAGCTTGATTTGGGCTGTTGTGATTTTGGAGAAAAATCCTGTGAGATTAGCTATGGTTTTGCCAATTTTTGGGCAGTTACAATTCATTGTGTGATTACTGTTTAAAGTACTATTCACGGGTATTGTTCATAAATACTGTTCACGCACTAATGGCCAACAATTAAAGGGGATTAAATGTTTAGCTTGTAATATAAGAATAAATTTGGAGATGTCCGGTCATATGGAGACTAATAGAAATAGCATGATTAGGGGTGATCCTAATGAAGTTTTCACTTTGAATTTGTGATAGTACGGTATTAATTCTGGGTATTTTGATTAGGTTTTTGAGTGTTCTGTCACCCAAGTACTTGGCTTGAGTTCCGGATTTGAGGTAAGTAAATTATGGTAACGCCTTTCGATTTTAAAGCATGTTTTAAATTGTTTTTGCGATGGTGGCAAGATTTAAATTGATTTTAAATTGATTTTATTAGCACCAAGCATGATTGATTTGAAATGGAATTATTTTTGTTTTCATTGAGTAGAGCATGCCACCTGGAACTTACTGAACTACTCTGATGATTTAACAATTTTTCGTAAATTATGATTTTCTGTAAAATCCATGCCCACATGGAATTTTCTGGTTATTTCTGAAATTTGATTTTGATTGTGAATTACGGATTTTAGTGTAAATCTTGCCTGTTTTGTCTCCGATAGGGTCATGTTATTCGTGTGCCCGCTAGTGGAAGGTTTATAAACGTTAGCACATGTCAACATGTTACTTATAGAACTGGTTCATTTCTGTTATCTTGCTAGTGGGATTATACACTAGTAACTCGTGTGCCTGTTAGTGGGAGGTTTATAACATTGGCCCTGACCTATAGAGGAGGCGTCTATTTCGTTTCCGTAGTCGTTCCTGTTTTTCGTGATTACACTAGTTGGTATGCTATAAGTTTAATTAAGGGCTATCCATATTTACTTACTGAGATATGTTATCTCATAGTTTTTCCTTGTCCACCATTTCAGGAAGTGAAGTCAAGGACGGGGAAAAACGAGAGGAGTGACGAGTTAGCAGGCTAGCTATCTTGTAAACTGAACATAGATTTTAGATATAAATCATGATCTTGTAAGCTAGACTTTATTTGGAGACTTTATGATATCAGGGCGAATTTTATAATTTTATCTTCAGATTTTGTGGTATCGGATTGTGGTATGATAAGTTCTGAGCCTTGTGCATTTGTGGGACGCTCTCACAAGTGTACGGCGTCTGCCATGTTCCCAGATTTGGGTTCTGGGACGTGACATTTATAATGGAAATAAAAAAAGCGTTTCAAGTGGGAGTAATTTTTTATAATACATGGCATTTTGATTTTTGGCTTGAAGAATCTTATTGAATTTATCAATCAACCTTATTCAAATTTACAAGATAAATCTCCATCTTTAATTAAGGGTGAAAACGATAGCATGTTAAAATTATTTACACCCACTAAATAATAATAATTTAACTTTAATAAAGCATTTTAAGCAATAAAGAGTTTAAAATTTGTATTGAAATTATTTACACCCACCAAATAGTAGTAATTTAGGTCTAAGAGAGTGTCTCAAATAATCAAGAATTAAAAACTTAAAATTGAAATTTTCATATTTGAATATTGAAATAAGTGGGAAATGATTAAGAAAAATAAAAGATTTTTTTATTTTTTTATACATTTGATATACTAAAAAATAATAATAATTTAAACCTATATTTTCAATATAGTTGTCATCACCCTTAATTATCACTTGAGATAACCCCAACAAGGGAAGTGGGAGTAATTTTTTGTCAATGGTTGAAGCCCTTGAAGGTAATGAAAGAACTATATGCTAAAACCTCCAATTTATAGACTTGACAAAAGGAGAATAGATAAATAGCTCTAAGGCAACCCAAGATACAAATATTGACTTATCTCTAGAAAGGATCTAATTCTAATATTATTGATTTTAATAGGTTGAATACCCTTTTTGGTCCATTTACTACTAATAAATGCCCCTTTTTGGTCCCCATATAGAGAAAAACCTTTTTCTGGTCCTTAAAATTTAAAATTCAACCCCTTTTTTGTTCCTCCGTTAATTTTTTGCTAAGTTGTCACGTTAATTAACGGAATTACTTAATTATTTTTTAAATAACTAATATTATAAATGACGTGAAAATTATATAGATAAAATTATAGATTCATGCAAGCATTTCATCTAAAAATATTAGACCAAGTGTACAAATTAAAAATTTTCCATTTTAATTATGAATTAAACGTATTTAAACATAATTAACTTTAATTTCTTCATCTTCTTCTTTCTCCACATTCTTATCCTTGTCCTCACCTCACCCTCATCCCCGAGCATCATCATGTCACCATTTATCTTCACCATCCCTTTCACCATGCTCTTCATCATTATGGGTTCCTTGGGGTTCCGTGCGGAACCTAGATCTAAGTTCCTCGAAGAGCCCAATTTTTGGGTTTCGTGTTTTGGATTCATTACAGAAACTCAAATAATGTTTGATATTTGGGCATGAAACTGCATATGATAGGCTTATGTTGCTATGAACTTTATAACTTGGTGCATTCATGACCTAGATTGAACAGGAAGAAAGGGTTAAGAATCTGATATTAGGGAGGGAGTAAAGAGAATAATCTGTTTTGCAAAGGAGAAGTTAGGGTTTATTAATGAAAATATTCCTATGGATTCTTAATTATGTGTTAACCAATCTCATATGTAAATGGTTGATTATGAATGAAGAATTTTGAAAGAAAGAAGATGATTTTTGG